CCCTCAGAGTATTGAAGCAGCACGCAGTCCGGAACTGAGTTGAAAACGTTATTATTACACGAGGTGAGAACTGTTATTATTACATATAGTCACACAAGCTCGACCGCAGCCAATACTTACTTTCCTGAGTTAGGGGATGCTGTTGCTGATCACGCAGAGCGCCTGTTTCTTTTTTAGAGAATAGAGAACTTAGTATTTATTTTTTGACGTGAGGTGTATATATATATATTTTAAACATGATTCTTTTAAACTTACCGGTCGCCTCGCAGTTTACTCTCTCGAGTGTTTGCTCTTCACGTAAAGCTTGTTCATATGCTCTCAAATAGCTGTCTACCCCCGGGGATAAAAAAACATTTGGGGGAGGGACAAAGCTTCTGATTGGATAACCTTTCACCTAGAACTGTCAAATCGAGTTTGATGAAAGCCGGTATCTACTGTATACTGTGTGTGCTACACCTTACACTCATAGAAGCTTGGGTTACTGTACATAACCAATGTTACATGTTCAGTTGTCCAATCCACTGTTAGCTGTTTTAAACTACATTAGCAGAGGTGGGGGACTTGAGTAACATGATTTGAGTTAAATCAGACTTAGGTTGCAAATTTAAGGTAAAGGACTTGACTTGGAATTCATGAATTGAGACTTGACTTAGACTTGAGACAGATGACTCGAAATTACTTCACTTTTTTAATAAAACATTTGCATTTTCTAGGTACTGAGAAGCAACACTTTATTTTGGGCGATTTCTAGTGCAATGTGCACAAACCTGGCAATCTACCAGAATGCAGAACACCAGCAGAGGACAACACAGGTCACAGGATGCTGCTATGGAGGAGCTTAGTCCATAAATAATACAATTTGATTTCAGGGATTATGTTATCAATTACTGTGGTAAGAAAAGAACCGCGGTATGCAAAGTCTGCAGCTCAAAAATCAGAGTTACAGTCTGCACAACATCCAACTTCATCTGTCACTACAAAACTCACAAAGAGCAAGTACATGACTGTGTAAATTAGTTTACTTATTGGCTGGTCAATCTATCAAATGTGGTGATCCACACTGACTCCAAGACACGTGTCATCCCTCAACCCCTTTACATTTCAAGTTTATTTTTTGCATTTGAAGTGTAAGCTAATCAGCACAGAAAGCTGCTTAACACAAGTAGCTCACCTGTTAGCCTCTTTATGTATTGGGAAATTTTTACATGAATCTCTTCTGATCAGGCTCTTGGTGTCACTGTGTGCTTTCTGGTTTTGCTTTTCCCTTGGCCTTTGTAGCAAGAAGGAGAATTACTAAAATTAATAAATCCATACATATAAACAGTGCTGATTCCTTGCTGATGAGCCTACATGATGACTACTTTTTCCAGTACATTTCTGCTTTTAGTCAGCCTAGTGAGCATCGTGTTGTTGTCCTGCTGACAGACAGCATATTCTGATGGGAGATGCTTCACAGAGGTCAGAATCACTTTGGACTGAATTGATCAAACACTTAAGTCATGCATATGCCTCACTCATGTCTAGTGAAGTCCCAGTTTGAGGTTATTGGTGGCTGAAACCCACCATTAATTCCTTCTTTAAGTAGTGGGCTGCTAGTAACTTTATGTCAGGTTTGCCCGGCTGCACCTGCCTCTCTCACTTCCCTCACTTTGTTTCTCTTTTCGGCCCCTGATTACACCACCACGCACACCTGCTCCACACTCCTTTACTGCCACCAACTGCACCTCATTAGTTCTCCACCTTACTTATACCCAGCTCACCTACCACTCCCTTGCCAGTTCATTCTAATTCTCAGGCCCTCTATGTTGCTAATTATTATTTTTTGCCTTCGTCTGTCTCCATCTTCCTCTTTAGCTTTTCGTATATTCAGACTCCCTGTGCTGCTCTCCACCTAGGTTGTTTTTCCACCTCCACAGACTACTACCTCCAGACCTCGGCTCCATCCAACCCTTCCAGCATCCACCAGACAGGTTGATGCACAGTCACAGTTTTTCATCTGTCAAACCTCTGCTTTCCATCTCCTTAGTAACCTCCGTTGTCCACCAACCAGCTCAGGAGTGATCCCGTCGATGCAGTTCAGCCCACTCCTTCCATCTCATCATCTCTCTGTTGTCTGCTGCTGATCGACACCCGGTTCATCCAGTACATCCACGCCTGCCTTATCTAGCTGTTTACCACACTGTATATAATAAATCACTGTTTGCACTGAAGTCAGCTATCTGGGTCCGTCTTTGTATGCTCACTCACCCTCCCGTGTGCGAGCAATCATAACACTTTAGCTAAAAAATGAGCTGCCACTAACCAGGTGAGTGAGAGAGCTGATCTGTGCATGAAGTCCAATACAGACATCACCAAAGAACAGAAATAATTCTTCAGAAGAAAAACAGGTTGCAAATAGGCTAAATCACAAACGGCAATGCATGTACACAATTCATCAGTTATACTTCAATTGAAATATAATAGTCATCATTTGTGGGGGTGGCTCAGGAGGTAGAGTGGGTTGTCCAGTCAATATGTCGAAGTGTCCTTGAGCAAGATACTGAACCCCAAGTTACTCCCGGTGATGACATCGGTGTGTGAATGTGTGAGTGTTTGGGAGTGCGAATGGGTGAATGGCCAAGTAGTGTGGAAGCACTTTGAGTGTGCTGTAAAGCATAGAAAAGCATTGTATAAGTATCATCAGTGTCATTATTATCATCACATTGACTAGGCTATAGAGTACTAAAGTGACTACATAAAAAGAATCAAAATCAGCTTTATTGGCCAGGTGCATTGGACACAAGGAATTTGACTCTGGTACAGCAGCTCTCAATGTGCATGTAAATATCCCCATGCAATTCACTAGCAAGGAGCAAGTAAACAATATACCAACATAAGGCTGTGTAGTATAACAAAATAAACAGTGTAGACAAGCAATAAACAATGCAAAATAAACTGTATAAACAGGCAATAAACAATGCAAACAGGCAAAGGAATGTTCATTAGGAAGCGAGATGAAAATAGAATAAAAATGGAGTACTTAAAAATAGAAACCTGTACAGATCTGTATAATCTGTTCAATGTATATTTACCAGTACTGCACTGGGGGAGGGTATTGCACTGAGGGTTATTGTCATACTGTCCTGGGTTAACTGTTAATCAGAGTGACGGCTAGGGGGAAGAAACTGTCCTTGTGCCTGGTTGTCTTGGCGTACAGTGACCTGGAACGCTGTCCAGAGGGGAGGAGTTCAAATAGATTGTGTCCAGAATGTGAGGGTTCTGCAGTGATTCTCTCCACCCTCCTTTTGACCCGTGCGGTGTACAGGTCCTCCATGGATGGCAGGCTTGCACCAATGACCTTTTCTGCAGTCCTGACTGTCCACTGAAGTCTGTACCTGTCCTGTTTGTTTGCTGAACCAAACCAGACAGTGATGGAGGTGCAGAAAACAGACTCAATGATTCCTCTGTAGAACTGTATCAGCAGCTCTTGAGGCAGGGCAAACTTCCTGAGCTGGCACAGGAAGTACATCCTCTGCTGTGCTTTCTTGATGATGGTCCTGATGTTGGATGCCCACTTCAGGTCCTGGGAGATAGTGGAGCCCAGGAACTTGTAGGACTTCACTGCTGATACAGCGCTGCCAAGTATGGTGAGAGAGGGGTAAGGTGGGAGGGCTCTTCCTGAAGTCCACTGTCATCTCCACTGTTTTGAGCGTGTTCAGCTCTAGGTTGTTGTGACTACACCACAGGACCAGCTGCTCAACCTCCCGTCTATAGGCTGACTCATCACCAATGAGACCAATGACCGTTTTATCACCTGCAAACTTTAGGAACTTGACAGAGGGGTCCTTTGAGATGCAGTCACTAGTGAGCCACTGACAGGTGGGGGCAGGCACAGTGAGCTGGGTCAATTTGGAGTGGAGGATGTACTGCATTTCCCACTGACCTGTTAGCCCGGTAGGTGAACTAAATGGGGTCCAGCAGGGGGTCTATGATGTCCTTCCGGTGGGCCAACACCAGTCTTTCAAAGGACTTCATAACTACAGATGTCAGGGCAATAGGTCTGTAGTCGTTCAGTCCAATGATGGAGGATTTCTTGGGGACTGGGATGATGGTGGAACGTTTGAAGCAGGAGGGGACTTCACACAGCTCCAGTGACCTGTTGAAAATGAGGGTGAAGATGGGGGCCAGCTGATCAGCACACACTTTCACGCCATGTGGGCCTGGTGCCCTTCTGGTCCTTTGTTTTTTAAAGAGGCCACACACATCCTTTTCACAGATTGCTAGAAGTGGGGGGCAGGGAGGAAGGGTGGTGATTGTCCGGGGAGCGGCTGTTGGGTCTGAGGTGGGGAAGGTGAGGGGGCGTGTTGGTTGTCAAACCTGCAGTAGAATACATTCAGGTTGTCTACCAGTTGATGGCTCCCCTCAGCAGGGGGGATGGTTTCTTGTAGCCAGTGATGCTTTTGAGGCTGCTTCACACAGACCACAGGTCATTGGCCAACACCTGGTCTCTCAGCTTTTGAGAGTAGCTCTTTTTTGCTGCTCTGATCTCCCTTGTTAGTATGTTCCTGGCCTGGCTGTACAGAGTCCTGTCCCCTCTTCTGTAGGCCTCCTCTTTGACATGATGAAGCTGCTTGAGTCTTACTGTGAACCAGGGCTTGTTGTTGTTGTATGAGCAGAAGGACTTTTTGGGCACACACACATCCTCACAAAAACTGATATAAGATATCACCATGTCAGTGAGTTCATCCAGGTCTGTAGCTGCAGTCTCAAATACACTCCAGTCTGTGCAGTCAAAGCAGGCCTATAGCTCTGACTTAGCCTCCTAGTCCAGTTCTTTACTGTTTTAACCACAGGCTTCACAACTTTAAGTTTCTGCCTGTAGATTGGAATAAGATGGACCATACAGTGATCAGAGCGTCTGAGGGCTGCACGGGGGACAGAGCGATAGGCGTCTTTCATTGCTGTGTAGCAGTGGTCCAGTGCGATTTTGACCCTGGTGGGACAGGTGACGTGCTGCCTGTATTTGGGCAGTTCTTGGGTGAGATTTGCTCTGTTGAAGTCCCCTAGAACAATGAGTGGGGAGTTGGGATGTTCCAGTTCTACACTAGTTATCGGCCAGGGGCTGTAGTGCGCTGGCGTGGGCGTTCGGTTTTAAATAGACACCAATCAGGATGAAGCTTGAAAATTCTTGGGGAGAATAAAAGTTGATAAAAAGAGTCTCTAAGTCTGTGTTACATGTCCTCTGTAGCACCGTGACATCTGTGCACCAACCTTCATTTATGTAAAGACAGAATGCAATTCCCCTCGTTTTCCCGGACAGCTCCATTACGCGATCCACTCTGAACACCCAGAAGCCTGATATTTGTCACTGAGCCAGGTCTCTGTGAAGCATAAGGCAGCAGAGCATGCAAAGTCAGGGTCAGTCCTGATGACCAGAAGGATTTCATCCATCATGTCGGCTAGGGAGCAGAGATTTGCTAAGTGGATAAATGGGAGTGGAGTTAAGGTTCCTCTCTGGCTAAGCCTGATTAAGGCGCTCGCTTGTTTACGTCGCCAGCATTTCCCCTACCGGCATTTCCCCTACCGGCATTTCCCCCACCGGCATTTCCCCCACCAGCATTTCCCCCACCGGCATTTCTTCCTGATCCCGTATATGGCAGCTGCTCCTCTGATCAGAATGTCCACACAGCATTCTTCATTCACAAAAATTGGAGAAAGGTAGTTCAGGGGTGAGTTGTCCAATATTTAACAGCTCTTCTCTGGTAAAAGTAATCTGGAATGGGTTGTAAGAGACCAAGAAAACAAAGAAAAACAACAAACACGAGAGCTTGTGTCACCAAGGCTGCCATTGCTGTTGAAAGGTGGTGATTTTCCCATTTATTGTGTTCCATTAGTCACCCTCTCTCAGAATTTATTACAAGTATAGGGTATGCACTTTGGATGGTATGGTTATTTTAAATAATTTGTGAAAAATATATGTTCTACAAATGTGCCATCAGTATGAAATGTTAGCATGAAGCCCTGTGTTAAATTTAAGCTGTTAGATGTAGCTTTGAATCAATTATGTATTTTATTGAAAAGAGTTTCTGATAGCCATAAAAGGCATGCCTTTTTTGATAGTTAAGGGTTAGTTTATAGCATATGAATACACAATTAATAATTACATCATCAGAATGTATTACCTGTTTTGTGATTTGCTTGACTAAAGAGTACTCAACTTACTTGATTCTCACCACAGTAAGCTAGGACTTGCTTGAGACTTGAAGGCTAAAACTTGAGACTTGCTTATGACTTGCACATGTGACTTACTCCCATCTCTGCTACATACATTTACCTTTCCATTCCTCTAGAGTTTGGTCTTTGCTCTCCAAGGTTTGATCATAAGGAGGGGCTTCTGGCTCGTCATCTGGATCATGGTACTGTGAGAAGTAAGGGTGGGACAGAGCTTCACTGGCTGAGATCCTCCCATCACAGTCCAGAACCAGCATATGCTTCAGTAGATCAACAGCTAACACAGAGACAGAAGCAGACAGATGGATGAGATTAGTTCTGGGATGTGTAAGTGGCTAGAAACAAGCTGAAACACAATGAGCCAAACCTGTATAATTGTATTTCTGATTTACAATATGAAGAGAACAACTGGCACCTCTCACAGCTTTTCAATTGAATTTAAGATGCTGACAATCCAATCTGCACTGCAGTTCCCACCTAGTGGATTTGCTCCTCTAAATATCTTTTCCAGGTCCTGCTGGGGCATGAAAGGCAGAGACTGGATATACTTCTGTGCCTGCAAATACAGTCAAAGTTCAACTCAAGGCATGTGACAGTTTGTGGTGTAAGACAGTTAGTGATCAATCACCCCAGCACTCACACACACACTGTCTATTCAGTCAGCAGACATGTCAGTGGAAGGGCTAATCAATTAAAACAGGCTGCCTAAGTAATACAATGCACAATTTGTCAAACTAGGTGTGAAGGCTTGATTTATGACCTATATGACTGATGAGTTATGACCCAAGGTCACACCCCTTTCACATCTTAGGTGTTAGTTTTTGCACTTCCCCTTTCCTCTTTCCTGTACATGATTTATGGTTTTATTAACTTCCTCTACAGCCAGATTGACACCTCCATATCCTGACACTAGGATCATGACAGAAGATTTATGATAGAGATCAGTGTAGGGGAAAAAAACACATTCTCCCCCCTAGTTTAGTTTAGAGTAGGAATGTTTCCTGTCATGATTCTGTCCTGTCGGTTTCTGTTCTCATTAAATGAGCAGACCCATTCACCACATCTCCCCATGCCTAAACACAGGCTAGGCAGTGTTAACGCTATTAGCCTGTCTGTGGAAAGTACCATACATATCACCTATTGCTTGTTACTGCTGTGAAGAAGCATGTGATTCTGCTTAAGGGCAAATGCCTGTTGTTGTTAAAGTAACAATGCTGTTACCAAATTTAAGGAAATAATTCCATCATTATTCACTTCAGTGCCATGTGCCAACACAATGGAGGGAGGCCACCTTAACTTTACTCCCACACAAGTCGATAATCTTGTGCTGCAGCTTCCCTGCACAAAACACGCGATACCGTTGCACCTCTGAAAAAGAAGGCTGTGAAACAGAGGACACTAGCCCCGTGGTACAGCTCGCAACTCCGCTCCCTAAAGCAGGCATCACAAAAACTGGAAAGGAGGTGGTGCTCCACTAAGTCAGAAGAGTTTTTCATAGCCTGGAAAAATAGTTTAATAACATAAAAAAGCCAGGCCGACAAAGAGCCACAGTGCTGTTGAGCTTAATATTCCCTTAGATCTCAGCAGCAATGACTTCATGAGTTTCTTTACAAATAAAATCACAACTAATAGAGGAAAAAATAATCAAATCATTCCCACAACTCACAATGGCTTTAGAAAGACATGTAAGACCTCATTTATATTTAAACTGCTTCTTTCCCATTGATCTCTCTGATTTTACCTCAACAATTGCTTCATCTAAATCATCATGTCAGCCAGGGTACTGACAGGAACCAGCAAGAGAGATCATATTTCTCAGCTCCTGTCGCAGCTTGAAGGGCCGGTTGGAGACCTGTGACCTAGCTATGTGTGACTTGCCCCGTTATGGGAAAAAGACCCTAGCTATCATTGGTGGATGTAGTGGAATATTTTAATGGACCTTATTCTACACTACCTGATGAATTTAATTTGATTTCAATACTTGAGGGACTTGATTTGTAATGCAAGTTTTATTTTTAAACTATGCATGCCACATGTATGTTTTTTTTAGATGAAAGGGGTTTATGAAAATATTTAAAAATATAAATGCGTTTTTATTCCAATTTTAAACTATTTAATTAATCTTTTTTCATTACACCTATAAAGATTTAGAGGGAAACATTCTTACGCCAAACCAAGCATCATTGGGGTCATAAATCAAGTCTTCATACCTAGTTTGATAGGCAGTACATTGTAGTACTCTCTTGCCTGCATCAGTGGAAACAGCATTACAGTGCATTTTTCACATTCTCAGTCACGCATCTAATCATTCTTCCCTTCCTTACATGTTCAGAGCAGATTTTTTTTAACAGCTCAGGTGTCGGAGTCCCAACCACCTCCATGATTCTCTTCAGCTGGTCAATATCTGTGTGCAGGAAAGGTTAAGGGTTAAGATGTGTGAAAAGTCATCAACCTTCAGGGTGTGGCATGTCCTATTATCTTGTCACACAGGAAATCAATTAACTAAGTTCGGACAGACTTTGGTCTGATTTAACTGTTTGGTGACATGAAGACATCTGGCAAACTGCTGTGACAGCCAATCATGTACATGGAAATGCTCATTCCCAGTCATTACTTTGTGACAAGAATGGTGTATTTCTGCTGGTTACCTCAAGTTATCACTGACAGATAAAACAGTTTCCACACTGATAACATTGTAGAGTTGACCGTGAGTATTACAAACCACAAAGAGGGCTGTGTTTTGACCTCTGCTCAGCTTTTGAACACAAAAATACATTCCTTGAACTGGACTTCCAGATTGTATTTCATTGTTTCACAGGTCTATGAGACAACACTCCCTCAGCAATGCAGTCTCTTGCATGGTTTTAACACAGGGCAAATGTCTGTATGAAAACAGCCTGAGACTGAAACTCTACTTGCTGAACACTCCTGAAAGTTAACTCTTCATACTGTATCTATGTAGCAAAAGTCTCACAATAAAGATCTCTTGCCACTCTGTAGACACTGACTACAACAATGTAGATAATGCAGTCCTTTATTACTTCTATTCATCTACCACCACCCATCCCCTTGTGTTTTAAAGCACCTCCCCTTCAGAATGGCTGGGATTGTAATGCAAATCCACAAAAGTCTGCATCTACAGGCCACTTTAAAGAGGTAATGGAAGATAGATGCAAAGGGAGGAAAGCTGCACATTGCAGTGGACCCTTGCCATGCTAATAAAGGATACAGTCAGTGCCAGGAAAAAGGACTTTTCCCTTCAGCAGCTCTCCCATAATGCATCCCACAGACCAGATATCAACTGGAACAGAAACACTAGAGGTTTAATCATTCAACTAGCATTAAATGAGGTCATCTCTGAAAAAATATATTGAAAAAAAGCTTAATGTAGTTCGATAGCATCTTGCCATTCTGATTGTAGTGCATCCAGTTCAGCATGATCTCCGGTGCTCGATACCAGCGAGTGGCCACATACCCTGTCATCTCATCGTCTGTCTGCCTGGCTAATCCAAAGTCAAGAATCTGTAAGACAGACACAGCTTTTCTAAGGGATGGGTTTGTACTGTAAATTGAAGTGAAGAACTTGCAGGTTTAGTTTTTAGGTAACTGTTACCCTCAGCTCACAGTCCTCATTTACTGCCACATTACTTGGCTTGAGGTCCTGGGAAAGACAGCAAAGCAGACAAAGAAGGAGAGAAACATAATTACGGTATGTTAATATTTTAAAACAAATTTAATGTTAAATAAGACAAGTGCCGAAACAATTCTTCAGACTTGATGTTCAATATGACAAGAAGGGCAATGCACTCACTCTGTGCATGAGGAGGACAGAGGAAAGAAGAGAGAGGACATAAAGGGAGACAGGGGTCAAATGTTCAGTTCACCATATTATCTTCTGCTTTAGAGGAGGACTGCTTTTGTCTACCCCATGCTAACCTGGCAGTCTGAACAGCCAGCCTGCTCTGCTGGTGAAATGTTAGCAGAAAAACACAGGACACAATCAAGCATAATAAAGTACAGTGATTCCAAACCAGGAGGTCTTGACAGCTTCAGTAGCTAAAAGTAATGGATAAATGTTGAAATAGTTAGGTAAATGTGATGGATAAGTCCAGCTTCTACTACTTCAAGTCTGTAGTACAAAGACAAACTACTAGCTGCATACTAACACATACTGTACATTATGCAGCATTTAGCAAGTGTATCATGATGCAGTAAATTACCTTGAGGCCACGGAGCAGCTGGTAAATTAAGAATTGCACATGTTCATCTGACAACCTTTGAAATTTAACGATGTTATTGAGGTCTGCACCCATCAGGTTAGTCACCAGGTAGCTGGAAATAGGGAGAATTCATGAATGAATAAGTGGTAGGGGGTTTCAGACAGAGGTGAAGATGGAGATGCTGCCATGAAAATTGTAAGACATCTCTACAAGCCTATCATCTGGATTTCTTTCACCACCATTACCCTACTCTATAAGAAAATCATTGCATTTTTGGTGAAAAGTAGCTTGTAAACATCAACTGATAAAAGACCTACAGTTCATTGAAGTCTTCTAATGTTGCAGCAGGTGTGAAGACATCTAGCAGCCCTATAACCTGTGGAGACAGACAGAAACAAGCACAGCTGATCACTAACAGAGCAGCAACATGAAGAGAGCCATGTCTGTCTGTCTCTGAGTATTTTTTTAAGGAGCACTAACATTCTCATGTTTCATATGCTTGAGCAGCCTGAGTTCCCGGTATGAGCGGCGGCTGTGGATCAGAGACTGAAAAGGCCGGGACAGTTTCTTCACTGCAACCTTCTGTCTTAAGACAACATCATACGCTGAACTGGAGAGAGAAATATATCAAATATTAAAAAGTTGTACAGTACAGCAGCATACATGAGTTGTTTGCTGAACCCAGTGACAAGTTGACATTATATGACATGTCCTGAAGGTAAGTATTTACAGCAGCATACATTAGGCCTAATTGTTTACTGAACTTGTTGACAAGTTGACATTATATGACACATCCTAAAGGTGAGTATTTCCACTCATATACTTTCTTGCAAAGAGTTACTGTATATTAGAAGATTGATACCACTCTGCTGTCTGTACAGTAAAATATGAAGCTGCAGCCATAATACACCTAGGGTAGCTTAGCATAAAGACAGGCTAGCCTGGCTCTGCCAAGTAGAAAAATAAATTTGCCTACAACCTACCTTAAGATCTATTAAATTATTTTTTAAAAACCTGGACAAAAACCTATGTGTAAAAACAATAACATCTAAATGATGTGTACACACAAAAACTATGTGTATGCCATTTCCCACACATAAACCCATATGTATAAATGCAGAATATGTGCGCCTTATGTATACTTCAAATCATGCATACACATGGTTTGAGTAGGTGCGATGTGGTGAAGTGGAAATCTAGATGTGAAATTCACAAGGTATTCTTTGACACATCAGCCAATGACTTTTTGCCAATTTATTTTACTTAATATCAGTACAATTAGGGAACTACTGAAGTTTTAACTGACATTTATCTGACAACTTTTATCTGTTTTCTCTTGCTCTCCTTAAAACAGAAGTGTTTGTCACTAACATGTGCATTTGTATGTCTGTTTTATTTCTACACTGTAAGCAATTGCTGTAAATTTACAGCCAATTTCCAACACTAAAATACTGTTTTCATGTTAAACAGTTTAGTACTGTAATTAGCAATGCATCGTGGGCTGCTTAACTTGGAGCAATGGGACAGAGGCCCTAAACAGTATGCTGATGTTTTAAATTAGAGGACACTACAGTAATTACTGGAAACTGAGTGTTGGCTGGGGAATTTGGAGCAGGGTCAGAAGTTTGATACACCGTTAGTCTTTTAAATTGAGGCTACTGCTTTTGGTCAATTTTCTTTAAAAAAAATACATAAATAATTTGCCATCAACTCCTGGAGGGACTCATCATTTGGATAGGAGATTTACCAGAAGAGGACGCACAATTTAGATGACGTGCTGCACATCATTGAGTGTTCTTCATCAACATCCATCGGGTCTTGCATCAACAAATGAAACGGTAATTAAAATCTTATTCATATTGCCAAGAATCTTTGATATTAAACTGATGCTCAGGAGCTTGTCTTGTTAGGGATTTGAACATGTCAATTATGAGGCTTAGATTTGAATAGCCAAAACAATATTGCTTTTGGGTGGCTTTTTGTTAAATCTTGGTAACATTAGCAAACGTCTGCATCCGAGGAACAACGCTTGTTAACCTTGTTAAGAGAGGCCAATCGGCAGAGGGAAACTAGCATTAGGATAATTATCCCAGTGATTAAGAATTTATTTCAACCAAACCATAGGATTATTGGAATATCGGCTAACCGAGATGGTTTTGGTGAGTTTCATTTTGTTTGTGTCGACTTTTAATTAAGTGTGTTTTACAAGCAGTTAAGAAAATTAAGCTAATTATAGTTCAGTTAAAGAGAGACACTTCCCCAAGGCTTTGCATTTTTCTGTTTAAACAGAAAGTTGGTGTGAAAATTTTGCCTTTCTGGACTCTTTGTGAAGGCATTTTGTTTATTTATCTGTCGCTGCACGTCTCCCAACTGTTTTATAGGCTTTGTCAAACCGTTTAGCATCATCTGTGGCTTTTCTTTTATAATCTTAACATTGCAACTCGGTTAAGGTTAAACATTTCTGCGTGAAGACTGATACGGTGTCACTAAAAAGCAGCCGTAATCAAGACTAATGCATGTTTGTTGATGAAAGGGAACTTGCCATAGGGCAGTAACAAAATGTTTTTCCCCCGTCAGATCTGTTGTCATAACTGTGCCACAATAGTGACATATGGAAGGCATGGAAGGCACATGAGAATCAATAAAAATACACCTAATTTAACTTTTAAGTGTGTTTTGCCAGGTTGCAGTCAGACTTTTCAATACTTTTCAACGTTTAAGTGTCACATCTACAGACATAACAAATGTGTAGTTAGGCCTACTTTGTCTGGTGTTGAACTAACATGTCATGTTGATATCTGCAGTGCAAGGTGTGAGACTTTGACGGCATTTTACTCTCATTTGAAAACACACATTAGAGAGGGGAAAACAGTCACTTGTCCTTATAGACACTGTAGCAACTGTTTAAACAGAAAGTTGGTGTGAAAATTTTGCCTTTCTGGACTCTTTGTGAAGGCATTTTGTTTATTTATCTGTCGCTGCACGTCTCCCAACTGTTTTATAGGCTTTGTCAAACCGTTTAGCATCATCTGTGGCTTTTCTTTTACAATCTTAACATTGCAACTCGGTTAAGGTTAAACATTTCTGCGTGAAGACTGATACGGTGTCACTAAAAAGCAGCCGTAATCAAGACTAATGCATGTTTGTTGATGAAAGGGAACTTGCCATAGGGCAGTAACAAAATGTTCCCCTGTCAGATCTGTTGTCATAACTGTGCCACAATATTGACATATGTAAGGCACATGAGAATTCATAAAAATACACCTAATTTAACTTTTAAGTGTGTTTTGCCAGGTTGCAGTCAGACTTTTCAATACTTTTCAACGTTTAAGTGTCACATTTTCCAGTCCAGATCTGTCTAGGTCAAAATGAGGCAGGCAAAGAGTGTTTTGCCCGGTATGTTCCTATTAAACAGACAATTGATTCTCTTTTCCATTGCCAATCAGTGCAGGAACAATATAAGCAAGTACACTCCAGTATTGGTTCTAAGGATATTCTTAAGGATGTGTGGGATGGCAAACATATGGCTGAGAATGTGCTCTTCCAGATGAGGTGTGTATATACGTGTGTGCATATATATATATATA